GGAAACCCAAGGAGGGCTCACTATGAGTCGGGGCCGACTCTATGGTACATAACAACAACAACAACCATACATGTATATAGTTCCATACACAAAACTATATTAAAATACATAGAAAATGAAATAATCTTTAAATGTTTGAATTTTTAATACATTTATTAACAGCACAGAAAACTTTATTTTTGCTACAAAAATACACATACACAAAAAGTCCTTTGCTAATATATTTTTCAGTAAAAGCAATATGATTGACTATGTCAGATCTAATTAGATTCTCTTGATTTTACCTCAAAATGTGTCTGGCAATTAACTTGTGCTAGGAGTAAGAGAAACAAAAGTTCAGCCATTTTCTCGTGCTCACTATAATTAGCACAATCTTCAATCACAGGTTTCTTTGCAGGAATCTTTTAAAGCCACATATTCACTGTGAGTGTTCATTTAGTTAAAACTAGACGGTATAATCAATAAATCCACTTAACTAAGCTCAGGGAAACTGTAGAAGCTCATAAAGGGCTGAAAAAGAACAAAAGGCTGAGGGAGGCACCACTGCCAACCCCTTAGAGCAGGGCAAGATGCCTCATTCTCCCTCAGGGCTTTTCAACTGTAGAGTACTACATGGGCACCAGATGAAGACATCTGTCTCAATCCATAGAATACATATTAGTTCAAATGAATTCTTTTATATTCACAGATAAATATAAGCTCTAATAATTTCTTCAACTCCCTACAGGGTCATCACACAAACACCCACTTTAGAAGTCACTGGCCCATGCTAGAATCTTCTGCTTGTTATATGATGTTTCCTTGGCCCCAAAACTGTCCCCGATAGCCTCTCCAGCAGATTCTTCTCTCAACATCCCCTCCCTGCTTTTTCACAGCCTTGCTCCAGTTTCACTGTATTGCTCACCATGCCCCAAATACCCAGCACTCTCATACCCCTTTGCACTTTGGCTGTGAAGATGATGTGTGATAACACAAGTGAACGCACCTAGCACATAATAGGTATTTAATAAAAGTCTGTTGGCACTTACCATGATCTAGTTAAATTAGATCAATGGTTCTCCAACTTTTGTCTGCATCAGAACCACTTGGAAGGCTTGTTGAAACACAGACTATTGGGCCATACCCTTAGGGTTTTTGATTCAGTAGGACTGAGGTGGGACCTAAGAATATTTGTATTTCTAAAAAATGCCCTGGTGATGCTGATGCTGCTGTCTGGAGGCCACACTTTGAGAATAACTGAACTAAATGATTTGTATGGTTTCTCTCACTTCTAATGGTTTATGACACCTCAGTACTTTAATAGAGAATAAATAAAGTGAACTTGTGTCTCTTTATAAATTAACATTTAACATTATCATAAATGGAAATAAGGGCTTTATAAGGCCTCAGGTGCATAATGTAGAGAAAAGTGCACATACATTAGAACCAGAAGATATGTGCTCAAATCCCACTTTCTATCTGTGTGATCTAAAGCAAGTCAATTAATTCCTTCCAAAACCAAATCAAACCCACTGCCATTGAGTCAATTCCAATTCACAGCGACCCCCATTGGGTTTCTCAGGGGGTAAATTTTTAAGAAAGCAGATTGCCCAGTCATGCTTCTGCAGAGTGGCTGGTGGGTTTGAACCGCCAACCTTCTGGTTAGCAGTCAAATGCCTTAGGCACTACGCCACCAGAGCTCCTTACTGTGCTGCCAGAGCTCCTTAGTTAATCCCTTAGTCTGAGTTTTTTTTTTTTTTCAGTAAAACACAAAAACCCCACTGCCATTGAGTCAATTCCAATTCATAGTAACCCTTTAGGACAGAGTAGAACAGGTTTATCAGGTTTCCAAGGCTGTAAATCTTTACAGAAGCAGACTGCCACATCTTTCTCCTGCAGAGCAGCTGGTGGGTTCAAACAACCAACTTTTGGGTTAGCAGCCAAGCACTTAACCACTGCACCACTAGAGAGTATTAAAATATTATCTATCTCATGGGGCTCATTGAGAGATGATACTCTGCAAAACAAAAAGCACTATATATAGAATGTCCCAATAAATATACGCACAATTTATTAATGTGCCATTTAATAAACAAATTGGATAGACAGTAAATAATACGTAAATTTAAATCACAAATTTTCAAAATTTCCAACCCTAGTGGCTAAGGCACTTGACTGCTAACCAGAAGGCTGGCAGTTCAAACCCACCAGCCACTCCTCGGAAGGAAGATGGGGCAATCTACTTCCGTAGTGATACTGTCTCGGAAACCCAAGGAGGGGTCGCTATGAGTCGGATCTGACTCGACGGCACATAACAACAACAAGAGTGCTAACTAATCATTTTAAAGTATATGATAAGTGTGTTGCTACATCATCTAAAATATATATACATTTTATTAGTACTCTTGATAGAAACAAATAATACTAGCTTTTGTGGCCAGCTTCCAAGACAGTCCCCAATGATTCTTGTCTTCCAGTTTTCACTACCTATATAATTCCTCCTACACTGAATCAGAGTAACCAAAAGGTTAGTCCAAGACTAGTTAAGTTCATAAGACACATTGCTACTTCCTCTTCAGTTCCTTTTATCTCTTACTTAGGGTGGGTGGCAGAGGGGAAGCCAGCTTCTGTGCCATGAGAATACTTACGCAGCTCTGTGGAGATGGCCATGTGGGCAGGAACAAGGGCCTCCTGCCAATGGCCAGCACCAACTCATCAGCCATATGAACCACCTTAGAAGTAGATCCTCTAGCCTCAATTGAAACTTCAGATGACAGCAGCCTTGGCCAACATCTGACTGCAACCTCATGAGAGACCTCAAGCCAGAAGTCACTCACCCAGACCACTCCTGAATGTTTGACCCACAGAAACTGTGATATGATGAATTATTATTGTTGTTTTAAGCCACCAACTTTTGGGGTGGTTTGTCATGCAGCAATAAATAAATGACACAGTAGTTAACATTTATTGCTCACTTACTATGTTTCAGAAACTGTGCTAAGCAATTTTTTTAAACATTATTTCATTTGATCCTCCCAATAGCCATATGATATAGACACTATTACAATATTCAAATGAAGAAAAAGGTAGCCCAGGAAGGTTAAGTAATTTTGTCAAACTTTCATGGCTAAAAAGTGGCACAACTGGAATTTGAACCCAAGTCTCTGGTTCCAATGCCCAGGTTCTTGTTCACTCTTTTATACAGGCCAGGATAAAATTGCTTGGATAGTTAAGCAACAGATGCTACTGTACTCAGAGGAGAGCAAACTTAGGTAAAACCAGCAAGGGGAAGCCCAAGGACCAGATTCAACCAACATTGGCACCTGATGCTCAAAGACCTGGAAGTTCCATGCAAGCTGGTCCTGCCTCTCAGAGACAATTTTGCCCAAGATGTTCTGGACTCACCCAAATCTGCAGCTTCACTCGCTTCTCATGACGGTAGACTGTCTTCACCTTGAAGTCGATGCCCACAGTGCTGACGAACGCCGGGGTGAAGGTGTCATCAGCATAGCGGAAGAGGAAGGAGGTCTTGCCAACACTACTGTTACCAATGATGAGCAGTTTGAACATGTAGTCAAAATTCTGGTCAGAGGCATCTTTGATTCCAGCTTTACCATTGGTCACAGAAGCCATCTGCAGGAGAGACCTATGGTCACTCAAGGACATAACTGAGTTATCGACTTTCCAATGGTAACCCTGTAATTAACACACTTATCCCCACCCCATCCCAGCATTACTTAGGAAACACACACATACAGAATTGCCCATCACTGCACATGCCCTTAATGCTGTCTCAGGGCCTAGTGTGGGACCCAGCTCCTCCCATTCATTGTTTTAGCAAATATTTACTGAGCACATTTCTCTGGGTCAAGCCCTGTGCTGGGCATGGGGAATAAAAATATGAGTCAGACATGATATCTGACCTTAGTGTGGCCACAGACTAAAGTGAAAAAAGAAGGTAGACAAAAAATTACAAAGCAATGGATAAGACAGAGGGAAGCCCTGGCCAAAGAAGCCCACAGACAGCATGTACCCCAGCCTGGAGGAATGATGGCTAAGGGTCTCCTGGAGGAGGCAACTCCTGAGCCAAATTTTGGAAAAAAAGTCAAAAACAGCAAACACATGAAAATTCCATGAAGGGTTCAGCACAGTGTTACCATCCCTCTACTTCAGAAACTTTTATGGCACCCCAGCCCTAAAGGTCAGGGAGTTCTGGTGGCATAGTGCCTAAGGCATTTGACTGCTAAACAGAAGGTTAGTAGTTCAAACCCACCAGCCACTCCTCGGAAGGAAGGTTGGGCAATCTACTTCCTTAGAGATACCACCTTGGAAACCCAAGGAGGGTGGCTATGAGTTGCAAATGACTTGAAGGCAGTGAGTTTGGTTTTTTGGTTTAGCCCTAAAGGTCAAGCCTAAAATGTTCAGCTTGACAAAGAATCAACTAACCCAAGAACCAACTCACTAAGTTTTGTCTTCCCCCAACTCTTCTCCCCACTAACCTGTGTTACCATCACATCAAATGACACACTTTACTCCAAATGAAAAACCTCAAACTCACTGCTATCAGATCTGACTCAACCTTCCTTCTGAGGAGTGGCTGGTGGGTTTGAACCGTTACCCTTCTGGTTGGCAGTCAAATGCCTTAAGCACTATGCCACCAGATCTCCCAAATAAGTCATATTATTTCTTGCCTTTGTCCCTTTGTACATGTATTCCTTCTATCCAGAATCCCTCTTCCTCCTAAGAAACTCCTATTCATCCTTGTAGACCCAGGTCATCTGCGAGGGGCACAATTTTAGTGCTTGCCATAGATGCTATTTTCTGTAGGTACTTCTGTAGTCACCTTCCCTGTGCATGGCATGCCTACTTCTAGTCTCCCAGAGAACAAAGCTTCCTAACCTCTAATAGCACATGTACTGTTTCAGAACTGTTTAATATTCCAGCTCCTCCTTTACACTGAGCATTTTGGAGTTAATGTACTTAATTTCTGTATCCCCAACTTCAGCACAAGTCCTGAGCATAATCAACATTTAGGAAATAATGTGTGCTGAATTAAAGAAAGATGGTTCACTGCTTGGGGCTCAATCTCCACATCTGAGAAATGAGCAGAATGGTTTCTCCCTGCCTTTTTACTGAGGTTATTATAGAACTCAAATGAGATAGCGATGATTAAGAGCTTAAAAAACTGGCAAATTCCACACAGGTGTGAACATTCATTATCATTACAAATCTTTCAGAGCCTAAACTGTTTATTTATTTGTTCATTCATTTATTTTCTCATTCAGCAAACTTTTATTATGTTCCAGGCCTTTCCTGAGACCACAGCCCTCACATGTCATTCCTTCCTTTCCTAGAACACTTTGAATCTGAACCTCACAATCCAGCACTTGAGTGCTGGTCTTACTTGAGTCTTTAATTGCTTCTTCTACATTTTGCTGCGCATAGATGCCCTGGCTCTCCTCCATGAAATCTCTCCTGTCTCAGCACTGGGTGCTCAGAAGAGTCTGAGTGAGTGGTCAGAAGTGGGTGGAAGGACATCTCCAATGTGAGATGATGTCTGAGTTGTCACTGCTCTTTTCCCCAAAGAAAAGAAAAAGACTGAGACTGGTAGATTCGGCTATATTGGCTTCTCAGGTGACCCATAAGGACAAGGAGCTGACATAATGATTTAGGGTCCCCTTGAAGAAAGATCAGAAAAATATGCAACATTACTAAACCAAATCAGTTGTCACGGAGTCAGTTCTGACTTATGGAGATCTTAGGTGTGTCAGAGTAGGACTTTGCGCTATAGGATTTTCAATGGCTGATTTTTCAGAGTAGATCATGAGGACTTTCTTCTAAGGTGTCTCTGGGTGGACTCAAACCTCTAACCTTCCAGTTAGCAACCGAGAGCTTAATGTTTACACCACCCAAGAAGAGATTCCATGTGGTATTGTTGTTGATGGGTACCATCTAGATTCCAACTTACAGCAACTCCCATATGACAGACCAGAACTGCCCCATAGGGTTTTCTTAATCTTTATGGAAGCACATTGCTAGGTCATTCTCCCCAGAGCTTCTGGGTAGATTTGAACTGCCAACCTTTCAGTAAGCAACCAAGCACTTATACATTGCACCATGAGAGCGTCAAAGTGGTATTATTCCAAAAAAAGAAAACCAAACTCACTGCCATTGAGTCGATTCTACTCAGTGACCCCCATTGGGTTCCAAGGCTGTAAATCTTTACAGAAGCACACTACCTCATCTTTCTTCCACAGAGTGACTGGTGGGTTCAAACCACCAACATTCTGCTTAGCAGCCAAATTCTTTAACCACTATACCACCAGAGCTCCTTAACTGGTATTATTAGCAGCTCTGTAATAATACTTCCTTGAACATGTCACTACTAGCCTCCTTTGGCCTCCATTTTCCCTTATCTTTTCTCCTAGCTCTCAAGCCTTTATCTGAGACCCTCAGTTCCAGCCCTATATCAATCTGCCCCATGACAAGGCTCACCAGGAAAGTGTGGAACATGCCCAGGACACTTGGAGACTGGGGCATAGCATTTACATGGAGGAAGAAAATGAAGTTGGAGGAGGAGGGTATCATTTCCTGCTTAAACTGGCTCTTCTCCTTAACTTTTCAGTTTTTCATGGTACAAAATGCAGAGCCTATTTTAAGAATTGGGAATTCAAAAGAATTACTATTTCCTACCGAAAACAACGGCGCAACCACAATGACCACACAACATCCTCCACTATGCTGCCAGTCACCTTTGCTTACAAAAGAAAATTCATGCTATGAATGTATATACTCATTGTAGAAAATTTGAAAAATATACACAAGTGGGAAAAGAAAATTATAAATTACCTGACATCCCACCCACTCAGAAACTGTCACTGTTAACATTTTAGTGTATTTCCTCCCACATTTTTTCATGCAAAAAAGTGCCATCTACTTTTTAAATTATAACTGATTATTTCTTAATTTAAAAGGTAATACACACTTATTGCAAATAATTCAAACAAACTTTTACTAAATGCAAGTGTTACTTTTTACCATTCAGAGTTTGCCTTATACAGTATTCTTAATTTTTAGCATAAAAAAGTAATATGGAACCTAAAGATTTACAATGAAAAATGTTTTGCTTCCATTCCTGATTCCCAATCTCCAGTTCTCCTCCTCAGAAACAAACATGTTACTGTAAATTTATGTATCCTTCATAAACAGTCTTTGCATATCTTATTGTTGTTGTTATGTGCCGTCGAGTCAGACCTGACTCATAGTGATCCCTCCTTGGGTTTTCGAGGCAGTATCACTACAGAAGTAGATTGCCCCTCTTTCTTCTGAGGAGTGGCCGGTGGGTTTGAACTGCCAGCCTTCTGGTTAGCAATCAAGTGCCTCAGGCACTATGCTACCAGAGCTCCCTTGCATATCTTAGCATACTTTCTATTTACATATACAAGGTAGCATATTGTACATCTTATTCTATACTTTCTAAGCATCTTTTAGGAGTCCTGGTTGTACAATGATTAAGTCTTCAGCTGCCAAATGGAAGGCCAGTGATTCGAACCCACCAACCCCTCCACAGAAGAAAGATTTGGCAATCTGCTCTTGCAGATTACAGCCTAGAATATGACCATGAGATCAGAAGAACTAGATGGTGCCTGCCTACCACTGTCAACCACTCGGAAAGGGATCAATGCTGTTGGATAGAGTGGGAAAACAATGTGGAACAAAACTCAAAATCATAAAAAAAAAACAAAACCAAAGTTTTCCTGGTCTGATAAAGCCTGGTAAGACCCCCGAGACTATGGCCCCTAGTTACCCTTCAGGTCTGTAATTGAACTCATTCCCCTGGCTTCCAGCCAAACAATAGACAGGCATATAGGGTGAACATTTATATCAGGTAAATATTCCTTAGAATGATCAATCATGGGAGAACAGAAAGACAGTATTTGCAAATGGAGATCACTCGTGGGGCAGAAATGCATAGGAAAGAAGGACACGGGGAAGAGGTAACTACAGGGAGGATGGGGGAAGACAGCTGTATACATTGTGGGAAGTTGCAATCAATGTCATGAAATAAAACGTGTATGAACTGCTGTATGGAAAATGAATTTGCTCTGTAAACTTTCCCCAAATCACAATAAAAACCAAACAACCAAACTCACGACTGTTGAGTTGATCCCAAGTCATAGCGACCCCTCCTTGGTTTCCTAGGCAGTATCTCTACAGAATTAGATTCCCCAATCTTCCTTCCAAAGAGTGGCTGGTGGGTTTGAACCACCAGCCTTCTGGATAGCAGTCAAATACCTTAGGCACCATGCCACCAAATCACAATAAAAATTTAAAATAATAAATAATAACAATAAAGATTACAGTCTAGAAAACCCTGGAATTGACTCAATGACACACAATAACAAGAAGTAGATTTTAATTGCTGAGATCATACTATCATTAGTTCCATATCCTAACTTTTATTATTTAACATTATATCATAAATATTTTTCCAAGATATTGAAAACTTTTCATATCATTTCAGTTGACTTATTCCATCCTAAGTAGCTCTGGTGGCATAGTGCCTAAGGCATTTGACTCTAACTAGAAGGCTGGCGGTTCAAATCCACCAGCCACTCCCCGGAAGGAAGGTTG